GGGCAATAACCTCAAGAAAATGTTTGGCTGCACCACTGGTGTGCCTCATTAAATCATTTAGTGCCAATTACCCATACCATCAAGGGTAAATGGTAGAACCTCAAACTGCAGTATTAGGATAGTCTTCTTTCATCTCGTCTCGTGCAGGCTTTGTAACCCCTCGCTCTTTTCTCAATTTCTGCCCCATCTCTTCCCATCCATCGCTCATTTTGTCTGCCTCTACCCCTCTTTATGACCCGGGATGAATGGACCTCGCTTGCCTTTTTGAATTTATGCCCTTTTGAAATGCTTGTGAGCACAATGGGAGAGAGGGAGACTTGCCAGGGTTGAAAAGAGGGTCATTAATGGGCCAGGGGTTTTGAGCCACCTATTATGTCCTAATGACCAACTAACAAAAGATGGTTCCTGTGTGTTTACAGAACATTGGCATTATATATAAGGGGGCCCTACAATCCAACGTTGGTTTTCCTTTCCATCTCTCTTTCCTTCATCTCCTCTCCCCCAGTCCTATCTGCTTCCATATGCATTTCAGAATCCACATCAACTTATAAACCCTCCATCAATATTTTGTTTGAAAAAGTAACTCCTTCAAACAAATATGCATGCAGGAGTAAGTAGTACACTGCCAAAAAGCCACGGCACGGTGTATGTGTGTAATACATGTACACACGCACACATCGCTGCAGAAATGCATTCTGTGTGTGTTTTTTTCTTCTCCTTTTTACCCTGTGCATACATGGGCATTGGCATGGTTCTTTGAACAAGCATAAAGAATTCACCTCTATTGCCATCATACATCGAATGAATCCTTGCCGCTTTTCTCTCCTTTCTGCTCCGCTGTTTTTGTGACTGTTTCCTTCTCTGGTGCATGTCAGTTGCCTATTGGGGGGAGGATATGTATATAAAAGGCAGCAGTTGGATTGGAGCCCAACCAGCCTTGGCCGGCAGACTCGCTGGCTCCAGCTCACGATCTCTGGTGGTAGTGGGTCAAACCAACCCAGAGGAGAGAGCTAGTAGTGCATACGGGCTCGACTTTATTACAGGCATGGGAGAATAGAGAAGAGTGGGAGAGAGAGAGAGAGAGAATGAGGGTGGGGAGGAAAGGAGGATTGATGAATAGAAGGATAGGGAAGCATTTAAATTGTCTAAGCTGCTTCATTTGAGAGAATGCATTTATATTTGGAAGGTTGGTGTTTGTTCATAATGCACATGAAGATACATATTTGTATCTTATAGTTTTTTGTGGGGGAGGGGAGGATGTATTGTTTTTCAAGCCTGTGGCTATGGATAGGCCTATCTACGCCTCATTTAAATTTAGTTGATCAATAGCATTTTGATTGGTTTGGCTAAAGGAGCTTGATACGCTAGATGATGTAAAATAATGTCTCAAGTTTGAAATTCTCAGTAGAACTAAGTTCTCATTCTTCATGCAACTCATGGAATGTGGAATCTGCATAGGAGCCCTTTTAGGAGGCCTGTACATTTTGTGTTAAAATATCATTAGTGTGTATTTGTAGTACTATTGAGGAGAGCAGACTATGTTATTTTGTACGGCATAACAACTTTGATGAAAGATTGCTGGCTTCATTTTGAACATCTCCAATATCAGTGTATCCCCTACATGGTGCCCCATACAAAAGATCTCCATGATCATACTGCCTTGCTGCAGCCATCCCCGAAATTACCATTTTCAAATCTAGTCATGAGACTCAACCTATACCGGTATGTACATAGATATATATACTTCTACCTGTGAAATAAAAATCGTAAATACATGTACACCCTCTTCTGCGCAGGGCAATACTATGAGGAATATGTATATTTCATGGAGGCCTGCATTTAAATAAGAACAGTCATACATGTACATGTATGTATGTATGTTCCAAGCATTTTCATGGAAGAATGTGGGATAATCTCAGTAAATGAATCACTTTTGAGTTTTGACTGTATTTGACAAATCATCTGATAGGGATCCCTAGTGATGATAATCATAATCATAGGGATGATATACATTTCACAGTAATCTACTGTCTTCACGTATTGCAGAAAAGGAACAATGGCCATTTTTTTCATTCATTCATTCATTATTGACTATTCTTCTTGTCCTTCCTGACTATTACATTTGTTAATGCAAGAGATTGTAAACACACATTTTGCTTCTTGCTTCTCTCTCTCACACTCTCTCTTTCTCTCTCTCTTTCTCCCTCTCACTTTCTCCCTCTCACTCTCTCGTCCTTTCATTCATTCATCATTGACTCTTCTTCTTGTCCTTCCTGACTATTACATTTGTAATGCAAGAGATTGTGTACACACATTTTGCTTCTTCTTTCTCTCTTCTCTCACTCTCTCGTTCTATCGTCTACCATTCATGTATATGTATCTCGCTTTGATCAGTAGGCAGCTGCCTATTATTAATCATGTGGGGTTTGACCCAGACTGATGGTCGTCAGCGGGCCTGGGTCGGGCGGTATGACAACCAGCGCTTCTGATGTCACTAATTATGTCCCACCATCGCTAGTCTACGTCTCCATACTTCCTCTAGCCATCGCCGCCGGTTCATGACTATTTGTTTTAAAGATGATAGCAAACAAAAGATACCCTATGTTTCTGTTTTGGTATTGTAAATTTGTTTTAAGATGATGAATTTCTGGGATTTGTGTGCTGATACAGTTCGCTACTCGTTGATCGGAGACAGCCTTCATTTGATGAAAGATTCATTCATGGCGTGACCTTTTTTCTATTATTCTATCCTGTGGCTGAATCTTCACCTGACATGAACCTCCACATTTTGCAAATATTTGTTTTTATTCATGGCTCTGTTTTAATGTCTCCGGCCTACACATGTATTGTCACAAATGAAGTAATTACCTTTCATGAGGTTTACTCGTTCATAGTTGATTTAAAAATTAATCTTTGGAGCAATGGTGCATAGTTATTTATGCCTTCATACCCCATGCAGGGTGGTCAATATGCTTCCAAGAAATTTTGCAGGGTGTCTCTGGAAAACACGGGAAGAAAGATGGCTTCCATCCACACGATGAAGGTGATAGCGCTGTGAAACTCTGTGCTAAAAACAGTATGTTAAAAATTGTTCAGCTCATAACTAAGCCTCATGTAGATTCTGTGTGAAGTCTGTTACGATATGTTTTGTTTAAGGAACTGGGAGGTATACATTATACAGCAGGTTGTGATGAAAAACAAGTTATGGGTATCCTGTTGATTGGAACCAGTGTACATTCAGTGCGATGCTTTCATCTATTTGGGCTACTGTAAACACATGTCACAAACTTGACTCTTATCTTCTCTAGACTCAAGAGGACCATGTCAGGTTCGCATATCGAGAATCAGTCAAAATTTGAAATATGTCCAACAGTTGCGAACATTATAGGCACTTTGGGCGTAGTTTTTACGATGATAGGAACGGTGAAATTTTTTTGAAAGAGAATATGAAGCCCCTTCAGGAGTTTGGGAGAAAAGTGAGAGTCACGATCGCTGTTTGACCTTCCAAAGATGAAAACACAAGTCACTCTGCCCTCAAGAATAACTGCTTGGAGTACTTGGGAGTGACACAAGAGCATAGAGAGATCTCTCCCCTTACCAGAGACAGAGAGAAAGAGAGGGCAAAAAAAAAGGGGGAGGGGTACCATCTAGCAAGACCCTCTAGTTGGGGGGAAATATATCAGGTTGATATCATAGCAAAGTGGAAGAGACAAGCAGGGTTGTGGTATTGTGATGCTGGCTCCTGAGAGAGCATTAGGACTCCTTTGGTCTTGGTGATGCCAGTCGGCTTCTTGAGGGCTAGTAATGGGATTAGTCTTGTAAGTGAATTTATGATATGTTTCAATCTCGTATGACTTTGGAGGTAAAGGAGACCCTCCTTCCCAACTGCCCTTTGCTGGAATCAATGATTCCTTTTGAGCTCAGAAGCAGTTTCCTTGTCCACTGTTGGAAAGTTTCCTAGTGAAAGACAAGCTAGTTTGGACATGTTTCAGTGAGGCAATGTAAAGCGTATGCAGTAGGGTTCATCCAACCTGGAAGACTGTCCAGATTTACATGTACATGAATAAGCAACCAAAGTTGTGTGTATAGCAAGGTGGAGAAGCTCAAAGAAATATTTGCTAATCTGTATTAGTCACAAAATGACAAGTCAAAAATATGGTTGTAAAGTTTATCTGTCTGACTCTGTCTGTCACTCTCTCTCTCTCTCCCACTCACTATTAGTGCAATATGCCTGAATATGACTAACATGACTATGAAACATGCAGTATGCACATTTTCTTTTCTGTATTAATTAAAAGACATTTTCAAGCAACAATTATGTTTCTCATGCTTTCCCCCTATCAGTCATAGCCAAGCATGGCGACAACATGTTAATATCTAATGAACCATTTGTAGACCACCTGTTATGAAGTGTTCTAATTGTCCATTTTGCTCTACAAGCTTTCAAAATGTTTGGCTGCCCACAACAGGGGCTCGCTCCTTGATTCAAAACATGTGTCTCATTTGTCATATTATTTTACCACCAGACAAGGGAAAGTTTGGAAAACGGAAACATAGAAAGATGAAATTACGAGAAATCTTGCGAGTCTGTCTTGAAGACTTTGATTGACACTTCTCTTTCCTCTAAAAATAGCCATCTCTGGGAGTTTTCTGTCAATGTTTGTTTCCTGATTGACCAACCAAACTTTCTTACAGTTTATGTTAAATTTCCTGCTGGCATTTTAACAATTAACTAACTTAACTCTCTCCCCCCCCCCCCCCCCCCAAGCCCAAAACCCCTAAAAGGTGAAAAGACAGAGCATGCATGAAACATATATATATATTTATTTTTTCTGTGTGAACCATATAACACTGTTATTAAGTCAAGTGATCTTGGTGAGAATTAAAGTGTCATATGATTGTCACACAGTTACATCACTGTCATGACCATTTGTCGGTGTCTGTATTGATTAGTCGTAATTAACCATGTCTTCTTTATTTCTTCTTCTTCTTTACTCCAGGTGTGGACGCAACGAATGGCAACAGGAGGCACTGGTGTCACGTGGCGTATTGGGAACATAGAACGCGTGTTGGACCCATGTACTCAGTATTCACAGACTCTGTAAATATCTTCTATGACCTACCTCACGGGGACGGATTCTGCTTGGGCCTGCTGAAGCGGGAGGGCCGGCCAGAGTCCGTCGCAAAAATTCGCCAGAAGATCGACTACGGGCTATCGATGAGCCGGGAAGAGGACGGGGTGTGGATCTACAACAGGAGCAACTATGCCTTATTTGTGAACTCCCCCTCACCTCACTCCAGGACGTTCACAGTGCACAAACTCTCGCCGGGATTTTCAATCAAGATCTACGACCACGCCAAGTCCAAGTTGTTAGAACTCATGCACCGGGAGTCGGAACCGCCCGATGGCCCGGTGGATCCGAATTCGATACGAATCAGCTTCATCAAGGGGTGGGGACCACATTACTCTCGCCAGTTTATCACCTCATGTCCTTGTTGGATTGAACTGATCATGACGGCGCCCCCGCGGTGATGACCACCACGATGCTGATGATGCATTATATTACTTTTAGATCTAATATAATATTTTATATTATATATATTATATATTATAATACCTGTACATATGGACTCATTTTTACAATTGTAATTTATGGTGCCATGCATAAGTTCATTCAATTATTGTATACTCCCTTTCCTCCCTCTTCCCTATCTCAAACTTTGCTAACAAGACTTTGTTCTCTCTTCTCTCCTTGTTTTTAAAGTTTTCTTTCTTTCATTCATTCATTCATTCATTCATCATTCATTCATTCATATACCTCTGTTCTTATTCAAATTGCCCATTCTAAAGACATGTTCGTAACACACGTACATGTGGTGTTGTTCATGTGTATAGGCAAACGTTACTGTTTTTTACCAGTTGAAAATATGACAAATGACGAAAGAGAGAAAAAATATGGTATTGAATTAATAAACTCATTAATATGCACCATGAAAGTAAACAAAAGGTATTCAGAGTTTTTCTTCCACAAGTTTGTTTTATGGTAATTGGTTGTATTGATTATGGTTTGTGTGATGAATAGGATTCTCAATAATAGAGATTCTCAGTTGAGATGGGTGAACCGAACTTTCTTCTAGTGAACTGACATTTGCTTGGTCTTTATGTTTTCCAAAATAAAAAGCCAAGTTCTAGAGTTAAATTGGAATCAAGGTGAAGTTTAGGGTTAGTGTTGGGTCAAGGGTTTAACTTTAGATTTTGGTTAATGTTGGAAATTGACCACAGAGCATTTATCATTGGGAGGATGTCGTGCGATCGAATACTGATACACACCTATCCTCAATTTTTGTGAAGTGATGATGATGACGATGATGATGATATTGATGATGATGATGACGATGAGGGTGATAACAGTGATAGTGATGATGATGATGATGACGGTGATAACAGTGATGATGAGGATGATGATAATGTTGGGGATGACGATAACAGTGATGATGATAGTGGTGGAAATAATTGTATAGTGGTGATGATGAAAGGACAAAGCAATTTATGACATTCAATCAAGTGAAAAATGACATGGTCTAGAAAGCAAATTTCTAAAATTTTAAAGAATAATCTTGATTGTAGGCCTATACTTGTTTGGAACTTATCTTTTTCTTGTTCTAATATAGATATATTGGGCTCTCGCCCCTATGTGTATTTGTGAAATCTGGGCCCCATCTTGGATCAATCGCAATTCCTCCAATCGCAAGTCCTCCAATCAAACGCAAGTTTGCAGCCTCTGATCTCTTTAATATGTACGTAGTTGCGATTAAAATCAATCGTAAATATGTTGTGATTAATATCAACTGTTTATAAGATGGGGCTGTGGTTGAAGTTTGCCTGAGACCAAGTCATTTTTGCTATCCTCCATCAAGAAGAAGATGACAAGTCGTGCCAACAGTTTGCCTCCGTGATAAAAGAAAAAAAAAAAGAGATAAAAGACAATAACAATTTCATATGAACATGTATGTAGTAGGCCTATAGTACTTAAATCTTCACAAATATACAGCTTTCTTTGTAGTAGTAAGCCTTTAACCAAATTTTGTTCAATGATATGATGGTATACAGCATACATCAGTAACATGAGAATGATTATGATGCAGCTTTCTTTTACTTTTATGATTAGAAAAACTTTTGTTTATCACTGTTAGCTTTGAAAAAAACAATTGATTTTTTAAAAATAGTTTTCAATAGGAAGGGAGTTCCTTCATTTGGACTAATGCAAGTTAAACCATTGGCACTATATGGCCAAACACTGATGGATTGCCATAAGAGTAGAATAAAGTTATAAACCTGAGGCCCTTATTTTCGAAGCTAACAACCCATTCTGACGCCTTACTGGGAAGTAGGGTGGGTGAGTTTGTGTGTGACTTCGTGTTTTTGTTTATGGGAGGATTGTCTGTACTGGCGGCGTTCCCCTACATTGCTTCTATTCTTACAGCCCAGTCTGACTGGTGCCAGCTCAGGCCCGACTCTACTGAGCTGAGCTGAGCCGAGCTGAGCGAGCGACGACCGACTCCATCCACTCAACACACTGTGACTGAGAGGCCTCGTATTCGAATAGAGGACTGTGTACGCCACTATAATTTGCCTCGTTGTTTCCCGTTCCATACGCACTGCTCAGTGCGTGTGGTTGACCCACCAACGCCATGAATGACCGCAGTCCACTCCGATTGCTTACACGTAGTATTGGGAAGCGTTACCGAACGTAACTTTAGTAAATAAACCTCATTTAGAACAACTTACAATATGCTATCCCTGGAATACAATAATCATCACGATATGATTTCAGATTCAATTTTTAGTTATTTTGGAGGATACCATGTCCTTATCCCACCCCTAAAATACTAATTCACACTCATGTACGATAGACCATTATATTTAATTTAATTAAACATGTTAATCAAGCCTTGATTTCGATAGGTTCTATTCCTTGTAGTATTCCATAATGCATCGACTCGCTATCACAACCGCAATACCTGAACACTCCGGGGGGGGGGGGGGGGGGTGTTTCACAAAGATTCTAAGTTGAACTTATCTCTAAGTTGGACTTAAAAATTATGGAAAGCCGTTAGCATCTTTGAAAATATTTTGTAAAAGTTATTTTGAAAGACATAAAATGTTGATTCAAATCATTCTTATTTTCTATCATCAAGGAGATTTCATGTTCTTGATGTGGAATTTATAGAAAAAGTCTAAAATACTTGAATTTCTGCTTTTGAATATATTTCATATTAAGGCTCCAATGGCTGTCCATAACTTTTAAGTCCAACTTAGTGTAAAGTTCTACTTCGGATCTTTGTGAAACACCCCCCTGGTCTAACACAAACACAAGGAAGGTTTACGGTGGCCAGTCGATTGTCATTTTTCGGACTGCCTGCAACTCTTTTTGTTCTTACCCCGTTTCGCTCTAAAATTGAACCCCTTTCATATATTTCGATTCACAATTGAGTCGGGTTCCTAAATATGTCCACTCCACCCCCTCTCCCCATGACCTCTCTTCCACATATCACAAGGGAACAATGGAACGGAGGAAATGTAATTTAGGAGTTTGCTTATTTACAGCTCGGCCTATGAATGATGGCGAAGAGGAGGCAGTCGTTATGTTATTATGAGAGGCCCCTAAATAGCTAATAATGAAAATGATGGGATTTGCGGAGAGGCTCTGAAATCGAGCTTGTATTATGTTGAGCTAGGCCGTGGAGTCGCCAAGTTAATGGATAACCTCAAAATCGTTGTGCATCTTTGCAAAACACGGGACATTATTCAGGATAATTGCTGATTCGGGGAGGTAAATATCACGAAGATTACGTAATAATGAATACCGGTAGGGGCTCGTGTACAAAACTGTAAGCATGTATTGTAGAGTGTGGTGTAGACAGCCAATCTAATGGCCCATTCGATGTGGATTGATGGTGCCTCGCTAGTCTACAGTACAGGCACAGGCTGTATTTTGACTCCCAAGTCGAAATTCCCTATTAAAGCCTTGAGTTTAACCTATCTTCGCCATGGTCATATGGAACAGCTACAGTTATGTTGAGTGTAGTCTACAGAGTTTTACAGTCAGACCCTCGGTTACGAGTTACGACTGACAAGGTTTGTGCAGGCAAGTGCATAGCTTACTAGTCTAATACAAGAACAGACTCGGTGGTATATAATCATTCAAAAAAATGTGCATGTACTTTTCTTTCCGATGTGAAAGGAAATTATTCCTATTTCCATCTCAATTAAGACTCCCCTCCGCCCCCCTCCCCCCCCCCCCCAAAAAAAAAACCACATCGTTTTTTTTATTTTCACCTTTGAAAAACATCCAAATCACTAATTTACTCGTGAAAAAAGATGTCTCTAAACAATTTTTTAATGTTTATATTTCACTACTACCCCTCTGCATAAATATTGTCTAAATTCAGATAAAAACGACCAGAGAGGAAAGAGTTAGCATACAGAATATTGATAATAACAAAAGTATCCAACAGTACATTACATTTTGTCAGTACATTAGAAATGTTATGAATGAATGATCCAATCTGCAGAGAACACATAAATACAACTTCTAAAAGCGTGTATCACGATGTAACACATTACTGATAATTGCATCAAGCAAGCATTCCGAAGCATATTTAGTTTAGCTTCGTTTCATCCGAGTAGTTTGTCTGTTCTAAAGATTTGATGGAAAACTGAAGATAATTGTCGACGTCTGTTTGTATTAGGAGAGATTAGTGTCACTGTAAAGAGCAGTTATTTGACGAGATAAAGACTACACGACCAATCCAACCGTTCTCTATTTCCATTCAAGCATTTTTACCCCCATTTTACCTTACAAGATCAAACCAGACACAATAAAACTCAGCTGAACAGATATCACAAAATTACAATGCCAGACACGAATTAGTAGATATTCTGTGGTCCAGTGGATACGTCACCAGCCTATGGTTCGAGACCCGCCGTGGCACTGATGCCCTTTGACAAGACATTCATCTACAGGGTTATAATAAAACTTTGTAGGAGCCTTGAGCATCCCCTTGGATGAATATGTGTGCAACATGAATATAGCTGCTATTATCATTACTATCAAAATGTTCTCTGGCACAATTTGTGTCTAAATTTCATTTCCACATCCATTTGAAAAACATAAGTTTGAATGCGATCTCATCTTTTAAACATCCCCTCCCCGTTTTTGTTCTCTCTCTCTCTCTCTCTCTCTCTCTCTCTCTCTCTCTCTCTCTCTCTCTTTCTCTATTTCCTTCTCCCCCTCTCATTTTATTTATAATATGCCAGTTAATTTCGCCACTGATAATGTGCACAAGTTAGTGTTCCCGGTTGGGAGTTGGTAAGGGTGGGGAGTGTTTCGCCCCTCATTCATATTCGTGCTGTCCCCCCTGCCTCAACCACTGCCTGCTGCACGCGGAGAGGAGAGCGAGGCAGAGAGAAAAGGTTAGAAAAAAGCTAGGTGATTGGAGGGGGGGGGGGGGGGGGGTTATGTGCATGCTAGAGGCAGAGTCTCAAAATGGTCGAATTCGCAATTATTTTCAGGAAAACGGACCCGAGCAGAGGCTTGTTATTTTCACATGGCTAGGCACAGGTCAACGACACTTCCAGCAAGCAATGAATGGCGACGAGCGTGTTAGAATGGATGAAGAGCGATGAAGAAAATATCGTATCAAGAGGAATGATGACATGCAGTTGTTGCCTACTAAGTACTATACCTGCAAGGAAAGAGGATATAAAAAGGTGTTCTTAACGCTTTTTAAACACTCCCTTCAACTACACAGAATTTCACAGAACTCTAAAAAGCTTTTAATCCTAAAAGCTAATAATATAATCGTCTTTATGTAAAATGTGTTACTCTACCCGATTCATGTAGCATTTCATTTTCATAAAGCGTCGTGACAGACCAATATTGGTACAGATATGGGAGGATTTCAAAATTACGTTTATAAAATCTTTACATAATATTGT